ACGGTTCATGTTGCTACCTAACAATCTTCAGTTCCTTCTGTGTCCACTATTGCCCCTTTCCTTCATTTTTTTTCTCTCCATTTCTCTGACACACACGGATTCCCCGTGGTCGCTTCCAACGTGCCTGTACCTCCTTCCTCAACATCCCTTCCCAATCCCGAGGACGCGGGTTGCGTGTGGAGCTGCGTGTGGGCCTGATCAGGGCGTGATCAGGGCCGCGTGTGGAGGCCTGCTGCCGTCTCTGCCAGGAAGGCGCTGCCCTGGCATGGCAGGAATGCTCGGAAGCCATCCCCAGCCATGGAAGTGTCTCTCTCCTTCATTTTTTTCTCTCCATTTCTCTAACACACACAGGTTCCCCGTGGTTGCTTCCAACGTGCCTGTATCTCCCTCTTCTTGAACATCCCTTCCCAATCCTGAGGATGCGGGTTGTGTGGTGGATCCGGGCCGCGTGTGGAGGCCTGCTGCAGTCTCTGCCAGGAGCCTGCTGCCCTGGTATGGCAGGAATGCTCAGAAGCCATCCCCAGCCATGGAAGTGTCTCTCCATTACCTCCTCCTTCCACAACATCTCCCTCAGCCCCTGCGGAAGGCTGCCCGTGCTCCTCTGCCTCCACCGTTTCCATGGCAGCCGATCCCATCCTTTCCTGACTTTCTCATCAGCGGCCTAAACAAAATCTAGAACTGTCATAATTAGAATGGGAGGCAGTTTACAATATTTTTGAAGGCTGGGTGGGTATTACATGATAAAAGCACTTCGCAGCTAAAAGTGGGTAAGTAATTAAGCGCCATTATCTTAAATTATGATACTTTCAGAGGTTTTCTCTGGAACACGTCCTGAATATAGTAAAATTGCAATGTTAAATACAGCTAATTACACTGTTCCAGAAGTACAGAATGTAATGGTTTAATTAACCCAGAGTTTTTGCAGGCTGATTTTAACTAAATTTGCACCCCCCCACCCCTGGCTTCCTTAAAAGCATTCCCAGTTGAGGCATCTCAGCTTGTGCCCTTGGAATCAGACCCACATTTGGATTCTCACCGACATCCCACACTTTGGAGCTCCAACGGCTGATCCAAAATCCAGACCCAAATGCTTTCAACCTTTGGCATATTTGTAGGTCACATTTGGCACTGTCATAGGCTGCAGTTTTCAGCCCGAAAACCCATTTCCTCCCACTTCCCTCCTTCCCCTCCCCACACATCACAGAATCACAGAATCTTCATGGTTGGATGGGACCTTCAAGATCATCCAGTCCCACCCCCTGCCCTGGGCAGGGACACCTCCCACCAGACCAGGTTGCTCCAAGCCCCATCCAGCCTGGCCTTGAACCCCTCCAGGGATGAGGCAGCCACAGCTTCTCTGGGCAACCTGGGCCAGGCTCTCACCCCCCTCACAGCAAAGAAGTTCTTCCTGAGATCTCATCTCAATCTCCCCTCTTTCAATTTAAAACCGTTCCCCCTCGTCCTAGGGCTCCCCTCCCTGATCCAGAGTCCCTCCCCATCTCTCCTGGAGCCCCTTGAGGGACTGGAAGGGGCTCTGAGGTCTCCCCGGAGCCTTCTCTTCTCCAGGGTGAATTAGGAAAAGCCATTAGAAATCTCTGTATATGGAGATGTCAGACTTTTTTTTTTAATCCCACCTATTGTGTTCAAAGCACTGTCCTGGTATCGGAGGTGGTGGGTATAGATTTGAAATTAGAGCACAGTTGCATAAACCAGCATTGACAGTATACGAAAAGCCATTAGAAATCTCTGTGTATGGAGATCTCAGACATTTTCTTTTCTCTTCTCATCAATTCCCACCTATTGTGTTCAAAGCACTGTCCTGGTATCGGAGGTGGTGGGTATAGATTTGAAATTAGAGCACAGTTGCATAAACCAGCATTGACAGTATGCAAAGAACGGGACAAAATGGAAATCAGATGCAATTTGGTGTAGAACAAACCACAAGAGGGATGGTTTCTGTAGCCATAAAGAGATAAACTTGCTGCTTGAAAAAGTGTGCCCAAGAGAAAAAGCGCGAGTTACTGGAGTAAGTGGGGAAAAGGAGAGGAAGTTGAGTTTGCCAGAGCTGCAGGGTGGGTGGGCAGTGGAGGATAAAAGATAATTAAAAAAAAATAAATAGTTGAAGCACAGAAAAAATACAACCAAAGCCATTTCAAGAGTGAGAAAGAAAATCTTGTTCTTTTCCATGACTGAAAAAAATTCAAACCCTTCTTCTGGGAGAAATGACACTCAACACACTGCCAGTTTGCACTTAAAATCTCCTGGATAACCAGTCCCAAAGGATTTTCAAAAATATTATCTGAAATAACACATATTGACATGATGAAATTTAGATTATCAGATTAAAAAAAAAAGCTGTCTCTGTTGCCTGTTTTTTTTTTTTTTTTTTTTTTAGCTCTGTTCCCTGTTTTTTTTTTTTTTTTTTCCCTTTTTCTACAGAAGAAAAGGAAGACACATGAGAGATTTTGGCAAATTCTGTTACCAGCTTCATTTTTGCTCTTGGTTTTATGGGGGTGAGAGATTCCTTCAGCTGTTACAGCAACGGCCACAGTGCAAAGTGTTTAGATAGATTAAGCTTTGGCTTTTTTCTCCAATCTAAAAGCCATTGAAACTATAGATGTTTTTTCTTCAAGATGCATATTTACCTCCTGCGATGGTAGGAGGTGGAATGTGTCTTTTGCAGCTTCTGCTCCCAGTAGGATAAAAACCAGAGGTGGATACTGTAGATGGCTCAGCTACAGCATGTTGCCATATACAGCTTCTTGCTCAGACTTAACATAATTTCTACTTTTTTTTCCTGTTTCTGTGAATATTAAATGAGAGAATGAGCAGACTGCTTCATTTGAAAGGCTTATTTAACCTCCCTTCTCCTCATTTGCTTTGTTTACTGAATTACATTTCCACAGAACGGGACGTGGAACTCTCCCCCGACTAAAGGGATCAAATGAGCTATGAGTAAAACCATTTAGATCTAATTCACAACCATGTTTTATTAATAACAACTAGCTCAGAATGTTACTGTAGCTCAATACGTACTGAATTTCTCCAGGCTCTTATCGTTGACAATAACCCATGTTATTGTCAGAATATTTTAATATTGTGTAACCGTCTCTTCATGGAGCTTTTAACAGATACATGATCTGTCATTAAAAGTAAAGTAAACAACTAGTTCAAGATTTCTGATCAAAGGCTTGTAAAGAGGCGTTTACTCCTCTTGAAGTCAGCACTCAGTTGTATTCATGTTTTTTTTTTTAATGTACATCTGGATCTGAAAGGCAAGTTGTGGTCCCATGTCCTGAAATTTCTGCTTTCAAACTGAATCCCTTCCTTTGGAAAGCAAATGGAGAAGATTCAGCATCCTCTGTGTTCCCTTTCTGATGGGAAGGTATAAGTAAGGAGTATATATAGATATTAAGCACAGAAAGGACCAGATACAATAAAAAGCAATGACAACACAAAGTAAGGACTATATACAGATATTAAGCACAGAAAGGACCAGATACAATAAAAAGCAATGACAACATGATTTTTTTTCTTCAGCCTTTGGCACCTCAACATCATTCATTTCCTTTCCGTGTCCCAGATATATATGTATATATGTATTGTTTCACCAGAGGAATGGAGTTGTCCAAGCAACCAGCCCTCAGATTGAGAGCTCCCTGCCCACTGCCATCTGTGGGCAAACACACAGCTCTGCCAGGAGAAACTGCTTTGCCTGGGGAAAAAAAAAAATTCCTTGCCCTGAAGTGGGGTACAATTTTCCTGGCTAGAGAAAATCCCGGAGCGTTAAGTTGCATTGTGTGTCCGCATGGTTTTTTTTTTCCCCTTAGGCTTAGCGGGCACATTCCCACATTTGTAAGGTTACAACCGATATAAAACCACTGGTAAAAACACCTCGGAGGAGAAATGTCCATCTGCTTTCAGACACCATAGAAAAAAAAAGTTGTATTTCTACGTCCACGTTGAATTTGGGGAGTTGCAGACACTCATGGGCAGGGAAAGTTGTCATATTTCTCAGCCGATCATGAAAACTTAATTTCTTTCTATTTCTGGGCAAGTCCGAGTATATTATCACAGTCCTAGAACCTCAGAAAAATTCCATGTCAAGTTTACTTTCATTATTGAACACGTTACACAATGCAGATCACAAAATGTCAGAGAAGAGCTGTCTCGGGGAATCTGACTATAACATTTTCTGGCATTATAGGTATTTGTTTTTATTTTTCTTGAGGATTTTTTTCTTGTATTTTTTCTCTACTTGAAGAGCTAAAAATTTTCTTCAGGGAGTAGATCATTGTATAGAAAATACAAATTCTTAAAATTAAGCTTCAATCTGGCAGAATTATTTAAAAAGAATTAGACAGTAACGACTACTTCCTAAAAATATGCTTTCATTAAATCCTGAGAATGCTTGCTCTCCTTTTCCACTAAACATGAGGATTTGAGTACAGTTGGCTAATAATCTGAACTGGAATCACAGAAAATAGAATTCTGGGCTGGTTTATTGTTCATCTAACGCGGGGGCTTTAGGACAGTTGTGAGGGTGAGTTTTCTCCGTGCAGAGCATCGTTTCACCAACTTCATGGTAATTTTGAATTTATGAAGACCTTGTAAAGGAGGGAAGTCTGAAAAAGCTGTCGATTCACTTAAAGGAACAGCCATTAATGGACCAGTCACTCACTGATTAAAACAAGATTGATTAAACCATCCCTGCAGTAGGAGTATAATTTAAGATACTAAATTTATAAAGATTAAAAAAATCCCATATCAGAAGATAAAAGAAGACACATAAGGGAACCTGCCTTTTTTTTATTTTTTTTTAAACTTTAAATTGTTTCCCAGGATCATTTTGTTAAAAACAGTAACTCAACGATTTCAAAGGGGCCAGGACCTCACCCCTTCTCCTGCTTTGCTCCTCGTTAACTGAATTCGTTAGAAAAACCGCTTCCCGAGAGTGAATAAAGTCATTCATAAACAGGAAAAACCAGTCCGAAACTCTATTAATAACCAACTTATTTTTTATTAAGAGCAAATACAGTTGTGAAAACTGTACATTGTACATTTTGGGTCAAGAATTATAAATAGAGAAACTCATAGATAAAGAGTTCATTCTTTGACAGCAAGAAACTTTAAATAGACAAAATGACATTATTAAGTACATTGGCAGGCTTCCTTGTGCTGTCCAAAATGTAGTGTACAGTATAACAACCAATTATAAATAGCCTTTCATGTAAAATACAGCTGTGCACATTTTAGAAAAATACCAACAATTTGTTTGAGCTTTGTTTTTAAAAAAGCTTATAAATCATACATATTTATAAATGGTACTAACATGCTTACTTAAATTTATAAACATTTTCATAAGCTTTGTTACCCATTATTTCCAGAGCATAAAGTATTTTAAATAAACATTTACTAGGAATTAAATACGTCAGTTACAAAATTACCTCTCCGCGTGAGGAGACGGGGGGCCATTTCACTCTTGGATGGAACATTTCCTCCATTATGTCAAGGCTTAGGCAGGAACTTTGAAAACTTTGTTCTTATTTAAAAATGACTTTCCTAAATTTAAAACACGTTTGAAACTTTTTTCATTTTTTTTTTTTTTCTTTTTTTTTTTGTTTGGTTAATTTTCTTTTTAAAAAATAAATAGACAAGCTTTTTATTTTCATTTGCTCTCTTTTTTCTGCTTTCTTCTTTATCCACAACTGGTCAAAACACAGGATTCTCAACATACTTCTGGAAAAAACAGCCGGGTGTTAGTGCCCTGCTGGGAGCTGCGGCGCCGCACAACGCTCAGCCCACACCTCAACGCCTTTAATGCGCTGCCTCAAAAAAAGATAACTCATGTGCTTCCTAAGAACCTCGCCCAAGAAACCATGCAAACACTGAGAAAGTTTACAAACAGGTTCAAAAACCTAGAGCGTATGAAAGATTTTTTTTTTTCTGCTAGAGAGAAAAGAAACCCTAATACGAGCCCTTTGCTTTTTTTTTTTTAGCTTTTTTTTTTTAGCTTTAAATGAAAATATTTACTTGCCAAATGATCACACCACCTACTTTTCAGTAAAAAAAGCATGCTTTTGATTAATAGAGGGTACAATAATTACAGCATAATGGCACATAAAAAGAAACATGATCACATCGTTTGAACAAAGGGCTGTGAAAATACTTAAGACAAACTTTGCAAATGAAAAAAGAAAAAATAAATTGGAGGCTTTTTAAATGCTGAGGTAAAAATTATAAACGGACTTTAAAAGACACTGAAGGCATCAAATCGATAAACAATCACTTAACATTTCTAAAGGCTCTACCTGAATGTATTCAACACAAATCTAGTATTTTAAAATTCTGCTCATTTATTCTGAGCACTAGCTGGCTCCACGGCCACTGGTGCTATATGTGCACTCAGACAAGACTTTATTTTAACCGCTGGCAGAACACCTCCGTGTTGAAACACAATAATTCAAATCACCAATTACCACAGCACCAGAATTCCAAAAAAAAAAAAAAAAAAGAAGAAGAAGAAGAAGACAAAAAAAAAAAGTCAACATGCATTCCCTGTTATCTCATCTTTCTTGGCTTATTCTGATATTCCACCTCCGGTTCAGAACGTGCTGATGAGACCAACTTCAGATCCTTATTCTTTTATTACGAGACGTTTTGCCTTTGAGCACTTTCGGGAAGGTACCAACACCGTAAGATTTTGCAGTCCTGGTTTACGACTTGCTAAACCTGGCAGCAAAACGGCTCTTTGGGTTTAGGAGAATGAATTTGAGGATTTTTATCTTCGGATTAGGAAAAGAGATTGCGACTTCTGCTGCTGCTGCTGGTGGGCAGAAGGGGCAGCTCGCTCCGGGCTGGAGGCTGCCTTAGGGCTGTAGATGGAACCTCACCACCAACCCCATGGACAGCATCACCCACAGGCAAAAAGAAACTCAACCTCCCCCCCCCTTGCAAGGCTGCAGGAGACGTTAAAAGCAGCAGGTAATGGATATAAGAGTGGTGACTGATGCTGCTAACTATTTCTTCTACCGAGACCGGAGCGAAGGCTGGACTGGCTTCCACAGCAACAGAATCCTCCGACCACACATTCCCCCGGCGGCCGCTCGCCCGTCTCCCCCGCTAAAAACATCAGACGGGAAAATAGTAAGGCAGCTGTTGGCTTCCATCAACCCCAAAAGTGCAGCTCCGAACATTGCCACTTTAGTCACACTCTGCTGGAACAGATGGGAGAAGCCAAGGGCGCTCCGCCGGCGGGGCTTGCTTCAGCAGATTTATTTGGGTCGTTTTCCAGCTCGTTTCGGCTTTCAGAGCACCCCCGAAGCCAGGAGCCGCTCGGCAGAGAAACCGATGCCCAGCCCCTGGCTGAATTTTCCAAGTTTCATCATCATCATCATCATCATCATCATCTCTCTCTCTCTCAATCTCTCATTTTCTCGCGTCCCATCCTAATTCCAAGCCTCCTTCCCTGTGTCTGAGTCTGAGAGGTGCCAATTAAAAGGCTGATACCACTAGTTGTCATGACTTCACTGAAGGGTCAAAACAGTTACATTATTAAATAACTATGTTGAATCACATTCAGGCATAGCTAAAATTAAAGTAGGGAGCGTTAAAAGTATGCAAAAGAAATTACAGCATTTGAGGCGGGGTGGGTACGGTGATGTTCTTAGAGGAAAACAAGACCTTTCTTACCTTTCCTCATTCCCGTCAAGTCAGAAAATGGACAAAAAGAATGGCTAAACCAATATTCAACAGCATCACCAGGGCGATCATGACTGAGTTAGGGCCCTGAAAATAAAATAAAGATAGCAGAATTATATAAAGATATCATAGAATCATAGAATCGTCTAGGTTGGAAGAGACCCTTGGGATCATCGAGTCCAACCATCAACCCTATTCTACAAAGTCCTCCCCTACACCATGTCCCTCAGCACTGCATCTAAACGGCCCTTAAACACAGCCAGGGATGGGGACTCCACCCCCTCCCTGGGCAGCCTGTTCCAATGCCCGACCACTCTTTCGGTGAAAAATTCTTTCCTAATGTTCAATCTAAACCTCCCCTGTTGGAGCTTGAAGACATTCCCTCTCGTTCTGTCACTAATTACCTGTGAGAAGAGACCAGCACCAACCCCTCTATCAGATAAAATCAGAACCCTTCGCCACAGCGCACAGCAATGAACACGACCCCACTTCCTCATTTCTACCTACATTTCTAATTTCTTCTATAATTCTCTATAATTTTTGACCCTGCTCTCAAAAGATTACCAAAATACTAAAGATACAGACCCTGCTCTCGAAACGCAGCCGCTACCCGTCGTGTTCAGGTGAGCTAAACACCACCTGTGTGGAAATGAGCTGGATAAATACAGGTGAGAGTATATTATTACCCCGTTCTTAATCACCCTGAGATTAAACCCCCTGACGAATACGACGGCATAAACAAATGGAAACAAACCCACCGACACAACCCTCAGTTTAAAATAAAGTGAAACAAAGCAGCGGAGTGACTTCAGACAAGTTGGAGCACTGCTCCTCATCCTTACAGCAGGTTCTTTCCCTGATTTCAGCCCATTTGGATATAGAAAAAAAGGCTTTTGCATGACAATGCGTTGCATGAAAAGAATTCCCTATTTTTGATAACGAAAGGCGGAAAAAACCCCAAAAAGTTACTTACCACTGCACTAACAAACCTAGCAAGGGTTCCATTACCTGCAGAATTACAAATGCACTTTGATTTACTCTGACGTTTAGTGGCCACACACCCTTACTTCATAGACCTATTTAGTGAAGAAATAAAAAGTCAAAATACTCCTTGCCTTCCTTGCTAGAGCTAAACTTGGTTGGAAATCTCGATTATCATGTAATTTTAGTCTTTCTGTGAGGCCAGAGAACAAGGTTTTTTAATTCTTTTTAGCGGTTTTGGAAAAGAATTTTTTCAAGGTGGATGCTTTCCGAGGAGCAACTTGAAATGCCATCCCAAACAGAAGGAAATTCTCAGTTCTTCTGTTCTCCTCTTAATGTATTTGGTTACTACAATGCGTTTTCACAGAGATTTGTATTTGCTTATAGATTAAGGTTGCACATTCACTTAAGTAGAAACAGAAAAACTCTTCACTCAGACAGTACTTCCCAAAATCACAAAAAAGGCCACCAAAAAGCCATCTCTGCAGAAATCTACCTTCTGAGCTGCACGAGGATCACTTGCGTAAGAAGGTATATATGTCATTAGAAATGAGACAATTTTTTTTCACTTTCCACGTGAGGCATGCCTTGCAGAAGTTCATTATGCTTCATGACAACGCTAACATTAGCTCTATTAATTCCTGGAATGCTGAAGTGTAAGAACTTGCTATTATTAATTTGCTGCAGGAGTGTAACTGGGAAGCTGTTGAACAGTACTTGTGTCTTTATTATATCACACGGTCTCATCCCGAAACGGTCGCATTAAACACTTTCTATAGCAGAACACACCTTTACACAGGTTAAGATGACCAAGTGTGGACTGAGAAGTTCTGGAATAAGTCACAAAACATGTTGTGTTGAGTACTGCTTAAATCCTTGGGGAGTCTAAACTCAATCAGCGCCTTTGTCCATAAAGGCTGTGAAGTTCCCTTTGCATCTATTCAGAGTCATCTGCTCACACGCTGAGGAACCAACTGTTCCAGTTCAAACAATGACTGAGACTATCAGGATGCCAGTTAAACGTTGCCACAGGGGTAGAACCAGAGAATTGCCTGGGTTGGAAGGGACCTTTCACATCATCGAGTCCAACCATCAACCCAACACGCTGGTTAATGACAAAACCCATCCCTAACCCATGTCACTAAGCCCCTCGTCTGCCCGGCTTTGAAATCCCTCCAGGGATGGTGACTCCACCACTGCCCTGGGCAGCCCCTTCCAAGGCTTAAGAACCCTTTCTGTGTAACCATTGTCCCTAATCTCCAATCTGACCCTCCCCTGGTGCAACTTGAGGCCATTTCCTCTTGTCCCATGGCCTGTTCCTTGGGAGAAGAGACCGACCCCCCCTGGCTACCCCCTCCTTCCAGGGAGTTGGAGAGAGCCAGAGGGTCTCCCCTCAGCCTCCTTTTCTCCAGGCTCAACACCCCCAGCTCCCTCAGCCTCTCCTCATAAGCCTTGTGCTCCAGACCCCTCACCAGCTCCGTTGCCCTTCTCTGGACCCGCTCCAGCCCCTCAATGTCTTTTTTGTGGTGAGGGGCCCAAAACTGGACCCAGCCCTCGAGGTGGGACCTCACCAGTGCCCAGGACAGGAGGACCATCACTGCCCTAGTCATATTAAATGTCAGAGTAACAGTATGGACAGCAACATTCACATTTTCCTTAATGGCAGAATGTCTAAAATATTCACTAGGAAAGTGATGACTAGGTTTGAAGTCATCTCAGTCAAAGGGAATTTAAATACCAAGTTCCCACTTACCAGGGGTATGTCTTAACCACTGGGTCACAGAACAGAAGTGGAACCATGTTCCTTCCTTCTTACCAGGAGTGAGGTCACTACGTGCCAAAGAATCACACTTGGTGACAGAGACGAGGCACAAAAGGAAAGCACGACTCCAGGCATGGTTATGCATCTGACCACAGCACTTCAAGCAGCCTCTCTGGAGTAGTGTGGACCTCAAGGTTAATTTCTTCTTTCTCTTTCCGGCACGGTCAAAATTGTGTCGATTTGGGTACTTCTGTGCTTTTCTACTGTGAAGGAAATCCAAGTTCCCACCAGGATTCCCAGCAAATACCTTTGGCAACTGTGAGATTTGTGCACAAAAGCCATATTGGAAGACTGAGCAATAAAATATGTTTTACTTGAAACAACAGCTACTTTGAGAATCTCTGTTTCACTGTATTGGAATGTCAGTGTCGATACCCTTAGAGTGAACTTTCCATTTAATCACTTCTTCTTTTGCAAAACAAATATCCAGAACCTCATGACAAAGAAAACCAGTATCTATATGCTAATATTAAACCCTTAAATCTCTTTATTCCTCCTCCTTCTCTCCTTGCAGTGAGAGGTGGGGAAGAGCATCTGTTGCTGGTCATTGGCTGATTCTGCCTAAATCATGACAATATCTCTCAAAAGGAATCATAGAATCATAGAATCATTCAGGTTGGAAGAGACCCTTGGGGTCATCGAGTTCAACCATCTACCCTACTCTACAAAGTCCTCCCCTACACCATATCCTATTAATGTCAACTAAGATCTGGATTCAGCATCTTTCTCTCTGGTGGTGAGACCCAGGCCCAGGTTGCCCAGAGAAGCTGTGGATGCCTCATCCCTGGAAGTGTTGAAATGGGGCTTTGAGGGGTTGGATGGGACTCTGAGCAACCTGGTCTAGTGAAAGATATTCTATTGATGTGCCTGTCAATCAGGTGAGATAGAACCATCTCACCACAACAGCATTAGATAAATCAGGCTAAAAACCCTGGGCCCGAGGTGTGAATTGAGTGATCTCATCTACAAAGGAAGAAGAAAGTGACACCTTAAGAACTGGGCTGCTGATTTTATATGAAGATCAAGGAAAAATGTTCTCTGTTTATGATAACGAGTCTATGCTTTACACAATGAAGTAAATCCCACCTCCTCGGGCCTTTCAGCCCACAGCATAATTTCCTGCTATATGAAAAAATGATCAAACGCTATTTGTGGAGCACATGGTTATTCTGCAATAAACTACTATCAGCTTTGCAGACACCTACGAAACGAGCATTTCACGCTTTAAGACAAATACCATAAATAAAACTTTAGTGTCCTGCGAGGGCTTAAAATAGCAAAAGCCAAAATTAGTCTGAACAGTCCAAGAGTGACCAGAGCAGGTGCACTGAAGAAGCTGTAGCAGAAAAACTCTGGTCCTGCTTAAAAACTGCCCTTTCAGCTTCCAGTAAGCCAGACACTTCTGCAGTTAAAAATATAACCATACGATTAGTTTTTATTTGGGGAGGGAAGATAGCTATTTTCCTAAAATGTAGTGCCAGGAAGTATTACGACTACTCTTGTAATCCCCTTGCATTAGGAATGTCCATTAAATTTAGCAGAAAGTTCTTGCTCAGAGGTTTTTTTTAGGATCAGGCAAATACTGATCTATTTTTTTTCTAACATCACGGCAGTTATATCCCTTACTAACTGGATGTGAAGAGAACAAAGAAATGAGAGCAGAAGCAAACTGGGTAACAGCAAAATGTAAGGATTTTAGATACAGGTAAAAAGCAGCCCACTAAGCACTCTGTGTGGCTTTAGCAAGAAAAATAAAAAATCAAAAATCCTTACCAAGAAAACCAAAAAATGATGATATTGCAGAAGATTTGTGGCTGGGCTTGCACCCGATCTAGGGCAACACGTCGGGCAAATCAAATTTGTATTCATGAATTAAGAGTACAATGATACTTTTTACAATTCAATTTGACTTTTTACTGAAGTCCAAGGCAATCCCAAATTAGCTGACGTTCAGGGTGGGACATGCAAGTACATACTGGGGCTAGAGGCTGCTAATGAGCAATTAGAAACAAAAACAGTTAGTGCCAGGTTTGTGGTCAAGTGTCTCCGTGCACACTTCACACCGTGGTAAATCCAAGATAATTTAAAGGTCCTTAATGCTCAGCGAAAAAAATCATGATTTACCTCTCAGCAGAGTAAATGCCTGAAAAAAGGTGGCTGTTTTGGAGCAGCTGATGAGCAGTGACTTTGTCACAGTGTGACATGAATGTTTGCACCTTGATAAAACCATAAGAGAGTCCTACGGCTCTTTCTTATGAGTTCTGAAATGATCCTAAACTTCAGGTTATCCAGGGAAACATAGTGACGTATTTTATGTGCAGTGTGCTGGTACTTTTCAAGTGTAACACCAAAAATAGGGATACCTAGAGAATCAACACTGCTCCTGTACATGACTTACTGCAGAGATGATATTCAGGGACATTCTTAAGGATGTAACAGACTCATAGAAAATACGAACCACGAATTTTATTAATAAAACAGTTACTGCAGACTTCTCTGTAAATGGAGATTAAAGTTCTTAACCCATATTGAAGTTTATGTCATTCAGTTGTGAGAAATGGCTTTGATGAAACACATGGAAGGGAGAACTGAAAATCGTATGTCCTGTATCTATGTTCTTAAGGCTTTCTCACTAAAAGCCTGGAAAAAGCACGGCACAATTTTATACAGCACTTTTGGATAAACTCATGAAAGTTTTCTAAAACTTTTGGAAAAACTCAATAAATGCTATATTCATTTTGTATCCCAAATCCATCTTTTCTCATTCTCTTTTCATAAGAGTGAGAGTTTCTTTTCTCTTTATATTTCTTTACAAATATATTTTTAAACTTTTACAGAGGATCTGAGGCAAGCTTACTCTCAAACCACAACAAAATCATTTTTCGGGATAACTCTAAAGAAATTGCAATTACTGATTAAAACAAAAAATAATTTCCCCACTGCAGCCCTGGAATGCTGAAGTCTCTCAACTTTCAGAAGTGTTTGCCATAGGGAAGCACACTTAGGTTGGCCTCTGCGTAACTCCAGCTGCTCAGCTCAGCCCAGGAGTGCTGCAGAGCAGGCTGCTGTTTTCCTGAACTGAAAAAACTAAAAAGAATTTGAAAATTTGAAAAGAATTCCTAAAATTGAAAAGAGAAGTCTCCAGGGAGTGTTAAGAGTCATTCTGTACGACGGCTGTCCCTCAGGCTACCCTTCTGCTTTAACTTGTTTTTAGGATTTTTACTCATTTCAGCATTTTAAAGAAATAAGCACGTAGGAAATTTATTCTGTAAGGGCGAATTTACAGACACATGTGGAAGACATGTTTAGAAAAAAAGCATACATCTCCATATATCTAAAAATGCTGCTATATTTAAAATGAGTTCCTACACTCTACCTGCCTTCCTTATGGAAATGCTGATAATAAGAATAGTGCAATTAGCGTGTTCCAGACGAGGCAGAGGGACAGTTCCCAGGTGACCTGTAATATCAGCAAACAAACAGTAGCTCATGTACAGTATCTTATCTCCCTTCCACCTCTCCTGATAACAGGCTCTAGGCTCACGGTTCTTATCCTGATTAGTCTAGAAGATCAATAAACTGCTCTTTAGGTGCCCTGCTTGGGTTCTTCAGGTGAAGAACTCCCTCAGCTCCAAACCATAGATTGGTTTGGATGGAATGCAAGAAAAAACAAGGACTATTTCTAGCCATTTATTCTCACCAGAGCTGAACAAAAAATTCCAATTCAGGCTAAAATCCTGTGCCTGCTCACTCAACACGTGGAAGCCCGACGGCTTTGTTTTACCCTACATAGGAGTCCTATCTGTGAGATTTGAAAGGTTAAAGGGCTAATATCAGCTGTAATACAGATTTGCAGATTACAAAACCACTGTGAACATCTACTTTGATCTGCACGAAACAGAGTATCAGCCTCCTGCTCAACTAGAGGGCATCAGCTCCGCAAAATGCACATTATAGAACTATTCAGTGACGGCACCGAAAACTCGGCATCTGAAAACTCAGGATACATTTAATTAATCTCATTAGAAGCAACCTAAAACAAGACTTTTATCTATATCTGTCTAGCTGCTGGATCTTCTTATACATTTGCCTGTTAGCTTGGGAAATTATTTTATAACGTGTACTTACAGAAAGGGTATTTAACGTGTCTGATTGCTTTTGCCTGAATCTTTCATTTTAAGATATGTTTTAATCATTCTTGCAGCTCTTTGGGGCACTTTCCCGTAAGGTTTTTGTTCCTACTAAATCCCTGATTTATGGACACTGTATTTTATTCCAGAAGTGGTTGCACCAGTGCCAAAACCAGATAAAACAGACTCCCATGTACTCTTGCTTAATCTTTCCTGTTGATAAATCTAAGGATTAATATTAACGTCTCTGCACAGGGAGCTCGTGCTCAGCTGCCTCTCTTGCTCCCCATCCACCAGTCTTTTCCAGTTCTGATCCTGCACGGCCAGCCTCTGTTGACTGTCTTTCAATATATATGACCTTACATTTTGCTGCATTGCATACAGATAATTATACTTGCATCTTTCTTATCAGGGGATTTGGATCAGTTTGTATTGGTGATTATTTGGTGATCACTCATAATGAATTATCTTCATTTTTTATTAGTTTCCCGGTCTCTGTGTCTTCTGTTAACATTATGGGTAACACTTTTATGTCCTCTTCCATGTCATTAATAGGAACATTAATAAAATAGAGCAGCAGAATTTATCCAAGAATAACCTCACCAGAATAACTGCTGTTTTTCAATTACTGTTTGAGAACCATCACCCAGTTTTTTTAAAAAAAAAATAAAAATTAATGTGACATTTAGCCTTTGCATTACTCTGGCTTCCTTGTCAGAATAAATAAGTGTGCAAAAGCTAATCAAGTGACCTTCTTGATTGAGGACATGATTCCTCTGTCACACCTGAGGATGTCAAGCTCGTCTGACAAGATCTTTTGCAATGCAAGCTGGCTGGAAATTCTCACACCTCTTTATTTTTGAATTCTTTATTAATGAAGGTCTGGTGTCAATTATTCAGCGATCAGTGCTAGGCTATCTGGATTGCATTAAATGAGGCACTCTGTCTATCCCATCTAAAGAACGCCTCTTTTTCTACTGGAGTACCAAAAATGATTCAGAGAAAAAATGCTTATTAAAATAGAAACCTTATAGCAATGATCTAGACCTCCTCATTCGCTAAAGGTTAACTTTAGGATACACAACTAACATTTCCCTGAGTTTCTCTTGGCCCAGAAACAATTTTATTGTCATCAGAGGTTCTGAATTCGATAACCTGGCTTTTTCTTATAGCATGGAATAGAAATGCTATTAGACACCTCTCCTTTGCTGCATAATTATTATACATCTATTATTTCTAAATAATAATGAGGTCCAGATTCTCAGTGATCTGAATATATAGTTTTAAATTTCCTTCTCCGTTTCCTGATGAAAAAGAAAGTAAATTTTTTTCACGATGCTGTAAAATGCAAGCATTGTTAGAAATATGCATTTCAAAACAGTTTCTATTTTGATGAAAACCTGCCTTTTTTCAGAGCCTACAATCAACACCAAGAAGAAAAGGAAAGTGGGAGATGGTATGGGCTGGGTCATACCACAGGCCAGTATCCTGCCTCCAACGGTGGCCAAAATTAGGACCTTTAGGGAAAAGAATGAGTGTAACTCCCAGTACTGCCCAGTTATCCATTGAAGAACAATGAATATTGGGTTTTTTTTTGGGGGGGAAAGATATGTATATATATATATCTGCAAATATATGCACACAAAATGTACATATATATATATACACACATATATCCATGCACACACTGATACAGACACTAACTTGCTTATGTATTTATGGATGGAATAGGGATTCACGTTTCAAAATTCTGAAGGTATATGGCTATCAGCCATCCCTTCCCCGTTTCCAAAAAGGCTACCAGAAAGGATGGGGGTGTTTATTCCTCGCTCCACCCTGGAGCAGTAGGTTGTAGCTACCAGGCTGTACCCAGAGGAAGACCTGACAGAAGTGGGCTTTACCCATCTTTAGAATCATACAATCATTCAGGCTGGAAGAGACCCTTGGGATCATCGAGTCCAACCATCTACCCTACTCTACAAAGTTCTCCCCTACACCATATCCCTCAGTACCCCATCTAAACGTCCCTTCAACACATCCAGGGATGGTGACTCGACCACCTCCCTGGGCAGGTTGGAAGAGACCCTTGGGATCATCGAGTCCAACCATCTCCCCTACTCTACAAAGTCCTCCCCTACACCATATCCCTCAGTACCCCATCTAAACGTCCCTTCAACATCCCCATCCCCCATCCAGGGATGGGGACTCCACCCCCTCCCTGGGCAGCCTGTTCCAATGCCCGACCACTCTTTCTGTGAAAAATTCCTTCCTAATGTTCAGTCTAAACCTCCCCTGTTGGAGCTTGAAGCCGTTCCCTCTCCTTCTGTCTGTTAGGTTGCAAAGCTCAGCACTGGGAGGAGGAAGGGCAGGGAAATTGGAAAGCCTTCCCTGCAGTACTCACCGAGCCGTTTTCCACTTCTTTTTCCACCGCTGAATGCGACTCGTTCTTAGCCGGGTTCTTTGGTGCAGCAACTTCTAGTTTCTTGATTTTTGTGTCGGGTTTGTTTTCTTTGGCATCGGGCTTCCCCCCGGATCTGGCGGGACTTGGCTTCTGGGAAGGTGGGATGCGGGCGAGGGCTGACGGTGAGGGGTTGGAGTACTCATCTTCTTCCCTGAGCTCCGGCGGGTGCACCGCCGGGTTCATTTTCACGTAGTAGCCGTGGTAGTGATCGTGCAGCTCCCCGTTCTCCGCGCTGACGGGGTTGTGATGGGCGGAAAACTTGGCCTGGTGTTTCACAGCTACCTCCTCCTTCCCCGGGGCTTTCGAATATAAAGGCTTGTTAACGGTGGGCGTTATATTCCCTGCGGCCAAAAGCTTTTTTTCTTGACTGAGTCTCGCCCCAGAAGCGGAGCTTTGCTTTTTGAGTTGTTTCGAAGGAGAAGGCTCAGAAGAAAGGGGAGGACTATGCCTTGGACTTGCTTCTGGGCTTCGGGGGGGTGTAGTGCCTTTCCGATAGAAGTGAGGTGACTCTTTTGGGGTAGGTGGCTGCTCCTGGACTTTTTCTTCGGATTTGTCTTTCACCTCCATTCCTTCTTGAAATTTTTGCTTGATATAATCAGGGCCTGAAAAATAGCGTAATATAGATATTAGGACTAAAATAAAAATGAGCCTTGATGGTAAAACTGTTGCACTGGGAGGGAGTGCCCTGCTAAAATGCTGGCAGGGGTGGGTGTCACCAAAAATCCACTGCTATCCGTAGTGATTTACTCTGTATCGCTCAGGAGTTGAAGCTACTGTACTTTTTCAGAATTGTTGGGGTTAGTTACTGATTTGGCTCAGTCACTTTATCTCTTCAGCTTTGCCAAGGACCGCAAGACATAAATTGTCTCTGAAGACTGACCTACCCCACATATCTACCACTCTTTTCTGAGACACATGTTTTGAGGTATGTTTTGTGCAATTATCCTAACCTATTTAACTTCTGCCCTCATCATCATAGTATCTGTTTGACATGGAAGTAATTAACCATCAGAATGAAACACCTCTTGTGCCCTTATAACCTACAGGAAATAGGGCTTGAATCACTGTTTTTCCCTTTCCGTGCATGTTAGCGTGTCATAAATGGATATAAATGTGCCTTGAGCTCTCCCATACAGGCTTTGTCTTCCTAATCCAACCACTTACCAGGTGAGATTCAGATGAGATTTTAAGAAGAGCTTCTTTGCTGTGAGGGTGGTGAGAGCCTGGCCCAGGTTGCCCAGAGAAGCTGTGGCTGCCCCATCCCTGGAGGGGTTCAAGGCCAGGTTGTACAGGGCTTTGAGCAACCTGGTGTGGGGGGAGGTGTCCCTGCCCAGGGCAGGGGGTGGGACTGGATGATCTTGAAGATCCCTTCCAACCCAAACCATTCTGTGATTCTATGAAGACCCAGGTTAACCATTCTAGTAGGTAACACGATTCTGCTGAGAAGCCAGGAAGACAAGTTCTCTCACATTCAGTAGGGAAATACTTACAGAGCAGCCAGTATGAAGAATTTCCTCCCCCCAAATCCTGGCTAAACACCCATGAGCACATTCACCACCAGGACTCACTGATCCAGGTGCACTTCTGTGCAGCTGTTTACATCCAGACAAGCTGGCTGAGACGCCTTCCTCCAGGATTTGCTTGTCTGATTTAACAGTGCAGTGCTAAGACTTGAGCAAATACTCTGTTGAAGAAACAGAATTGCCATAAACCTGCATTGTGGACCGTGTTTTCTATTTTTCTTCCTAAAGGCCAGATCCAGACCCCAGGATCATGTCCCACAAGAGGCCAGAAGCTGGGGAGCTCTGAGAACAAGGAATCGGGACGATCTTTTTTCTATGTTCAACGACAGCTCCTGCCAAATACATCACAACTAATTCTCCACTTCTCCCTTTGATTTTTTTTTTTTTTTACCTTCTCTAAGTGAGACTTATCTGTGGTTGCTGTCACAGAGAAATTCTGTGCCCAGAGAAGAACGTCCGCACACATTTCTCTGCTCTGGAGTTTCAGGGAGGCTCTGGCTGTGTTAGGCAGACACAGGGTTTTTACAGATGCCAGAAGCATATGCATCCCTACCCCAGCGCTGAGATGAGAGGAAGGAAGAGCAGCATGAAGTTTTTGGAAGTTACTGAGTCATCTGTTAAGTAAGGAGATTGCCGAGAAGAAGAATTACTCGGCGCTCAATGTCTTCTGAGCAGGAAAATGGCAACGTTTTTGGCACATCTGAAAACCAGGGGTGGAAACAGGGAGCTGCTGGGAGAGAAGGATGGACGTAGACAAGCCAGGAATTGTTCTCAAACGACATTTGAGGAGGAAGATGTGAGGAATTAAGCCTGCACAGGGGGAGAGGACTAGAGGCTTGGTTCTTACAGCTTTTTACAACCTTCCTGGTAAAAGGGAAAGGCAGCACAATGCAAATTAAAAGCTGCCATATGTAAAGTTACAGTCACGATCACCATTCACAGAAGTTCTCTGTCAGGTCCATCTTTAGTGAGATGCATAAGGTAACGCCGAGGGGTTCAACATGCTTAAACTTTGGTTTCCTTCTCTTTTCCCATGGGATATAATTAGGGCTGAAAGAGCCCTGGCTAACCTTTAAGCTCAAGCCATGGAGCTGTGAAATTGCAATGATTATTCATTATGGACACATCCACATTCACATTAGCTCGCTCCTTATGACTGCTGCGGTGCAAGCAGCCCAGTTGCAAAACCATCTCTTCAGCTTAAAACGCTGCTCATATGGCACCTGATCTGTTCCTCATCTTTCTAGAAAATTCCCAGGCTGCTACAGCTCTCCACTGGCCAATATATGTAAAAATATGACTTTTGCTAAGATCTGATGGCGCTTGATGGGCTGAAAGGCACTTTCATACGGGCCTCAGAAGTGCCCACCCCTCTCCACCGTGTCCTACAACCAACTAAAAGCCTCCCCAGACTGGCCATAGTGACCCTCTCTCCTCCTGAGACCTCCCAGCTGTGTTGGAATTTCTGAAGCAAGAAGGGAACCAGGTCTTGGCTGCCCAGGTCTCCACAAAAGACTAGGAGAATTTTTTTGAGGCAAAACCAAAAAAATTAAACCGAGACAATAATATCATCTTTAACTGGAGCTTCCCAAAGAAGTTAAGTGTCAACAGGCTACCAATGCTGTATTTTTACTGGGTCTTTGGCAATATTTGGTGGTAAGTGAGACTGAGCCCCACTGGAGAAAGCTGTAGAGATCTGCATCCAAGTAACATCTGAGGGTGTCTCACCAGAATTCAGCAATTGCCTTAACATAACACAGCCCCCCCTTCACTCCCCCCTCCATCACATATGGCTATTAGAGATACATCCCTTGCCTCCAATCTTGCCAGGCAGGTCTTTCCAGCACTCAAATTCTTGGCTCTGTGCTGAAGTTAGCTTTGGAGATTGTCCAAGGACTTTTTTTACGTCTGTTCACTGTATTCAGTACAATCACATCGTGCACCTGTCTGAACCCCTGACTCTGAGCAGCAAGAACACCATTCCTGCTCCCTTCTGAGAACTAAGAATATTTGTCAGGATTTACTTTGTTCCCTTCATTAACTAACACTATGGACATGATGCTCAGAGGGCTGGAGCCCCTCTGCTGTGAGGACAGGCTGAGAGAGTTGGGGGGTTCAGCCTGGAGAAAAGAAGGCTCCGGGGAGACCTTAGAGCCCCTTCCAGTCCCTCAAGGGGCTCCAGGAGAGATGAGGAGGGACTCTGGATCAGGGAGGGGAGCCATAGGATGAGGGGGAAGGGTTTAAACTGAAAGAGGGGAGACTGAGATGAGATCTCAGGAAGAAATTCTTTGCTGTGATGGTGGTGAGTCCTGTGAGACCTTAAAGATTATCCAGTTCCACCCCTTGCCCTGGGCAGGGACACCTCCCACCAGACCAGGTTGCTCCAAGCCCCATCCAGCCTGAACTTGAACCCCTCCAGGGATGGGGCAGCCACAGCTTCTCTGGGCAACCTCTTCCAGTGTCTCACCCCACTGACACCAAAGAAGTTCTTCCTGAGATCTCATCTCAGTCTCCCCTCTTTCAGTTTAAACCCTTCCCCCTCATCCTATGACTCCCCTCCCTGATCAGGAGTCCCTCTCCATCTCTCCTGGAGCCCCTTGAGGGACTTTAAGGGGCTCTAAGGTCTCCCCAGAGAATCTTGTCTTGAAAGGAGCACTAAGAAATGTTTCTAACCAGGTAAAGATAAGCTTTCTTTGTGGATGAACCCATGTGTTTCCTGATGGTGGCATGCTGGCCCTGCTACCACTGCTGGAAAACTGAGGCACCTTTCCTGGCTGGGGGTCATCCATGGGGTAGTTTTGCCTCACCCAGCAGCTGGAAGGCATCATTAAGGTGTGAGTTCACCAGTATTTCTGGGGAACAGCCTCTGGAAGCCAAAGGACTGTGTAGATGTGTGCGATGTGTGCCCACAAAGTCTCGTACTGTCTGCTGGTCTGCTTGGACAACATTTCATCGATGGCTGTGGGGTGAGGAGAGCTTGGGTTTGGTTGCAAACACCCTCATAGTTGTTCTAAACCTAGAATTTCTGGTGCCGTTCTTGTGTAATGTGTCCTTCCTCCTGGAAGGGCTCCAGTAAGTGATGTGACAGCATGGCCAGCCCTGTAAATGAGAAGAGAAGGGTGCCCTGGTTCTGCCACAGCATTTTTAGAGAGGTGACAGTCGCATGCTTTCCCCCATGGCCTGGTGAGGTAGACATGTTGGCAGCACGGGGAGGCTGCAGGGTTGTGGCGCAAGCAGTGTCTTGAAAATGTCACCTTGCAGGACACTGTAAATGCAGCCAGTGTTTCCCAAGAAGGCCAAGAAGAGACCTGGTGCCTTATCAGCTCGAGGCGAAAACTGAAGCTTGAGAGGGACTGCAGACTGTACCCAGGACAGCCAGGAAGAAGATGTAGGTATATATTTATATACATGAGCTTCAGGTCACACTCCTGCCCATGCAATCCAGCCAGTTTCACAGATTTTTGGCCTCTTTGCAAAAGAGAAAAGAGGAGGATATGGGAAAAGGGTGGGACTGAATGAGGATGAGCTCAGGAAGGGCTGAAGGCACCAGGACTCCTTATGGTAGGGCTGGGGATTCCTCAAGGAGCAATTCTGAATTCTGTAGTCGATATGCATAACTGATGAACCTGCCATAAATCTCATTCCCACAATTAATGAGCTTTTGTCTCATTTTAGTATAGTGACGTCTACATTCTCAAAATTAATACTTCTTTAAACTGGCAAAAAGGGCTTCTGCGGTAACACACCAACCAACTAAAAAGTTGTGATGTTTTGTGGCAGGACAACGCGTTTTCAAGTCATACAAGAACATTTCTGGAATTTTCTAATACTGAAAAGTAACAGAGTGGTTAGGAATGTACATAATATACTAGAATACTGAATTTAAAAAGTACTGTGAAAACTAAAATATACTGTATTCTATTACCTTTTAATTCTGTATAGCAATATTTTCTTTAGGAGCTAATCCACTGCATTCTACCCTTGTGCAACTTTCCATGTCCTCCTGGTATGACCTTGGACGTGTTATAACTTCTTACTTGGTCCACATGTAAAAAGAAGGCATGCAGTGGAGGCTCAGG